CCACAAAAATTTTCTTGTGAGCTTAAATATTATTTCTATCCCACTATATTATCTAAGGCATTATCCAATGAGAAATGGTGACAGATAATGAAAATAGAAATAAAGGCCTTAGAGAAAAATAAAACATGAGAACTCATAGAGTTTTCTAAAAAAAAAATTCAATTAGGTGTAAATGGATTTTCATTATAAAATACAAGGCAGATGGTAGGTGGCTTAGAGCTACACTCAAACTTATGGAATGATTATAAAAAAATTTTTGCTCTAATTGCCAAGATGAATGCAGTTAGGATTTTGTTATCCTTGTTGTAGATTATAACTGACAGCTTCAATAATTTGATGTAAAGAATACTTTTTAACATGATGATTCGGAAGAAGATATATATATTTATATATATATATGAAGGTTTTACCAATATTTGGAGGTCATTTAGAAGCATAAAAAGTATGTAAGGTAAAAAAGGCTTTATACAATCTTAAACAGTCTCTTATGGTCTAGTTTGAGAGATTTGCCAAAGTAATGAAGATCATATACTGTTTATCAAGCACTCAGATTCAAGGAAAGTCAATTCTTTTAGTATATGTTGATGATATAATTATAATTGAAAATGATGAAAAAAGAGAGAATCTCTAAAACAGTATTTGGCTAGAGAATTTGAGATAAAAGAGTTAGGGAGATTGAAATACTTCCTAAGAATTGAAATGACTCACTTATGGCATGGTATTTTTATTTCACAAAAAGAAAACTAGGAAGCTTGCATATAAACTTGTAAATACCCTTATAAATCCTAATAATTAACTTGGAGAAACTGATAAAGATGTTACTTAGATAAGGAGATGTACTAGAGATTGGTTGGATGACTTATTTATCTCTCATATACTAAACTTGATATAGCATATGCTGTGAATGTGATAAGTTAGTTTATGTATAGTCTTAAAGAAATGCACCTCTAAGTTGTCTACCTTGTACTACACTATTTGAAGGCCAATCTTAGGAGATGAATCTTATTCAAAAAAAATTCAAGATTAGTACTAGAGATATATATAAATGCTAATTATGCAAATTTGGTAACTAATAAAAAATCCATGTTGGGCTACTGCACTTTATTGTATGGTAACCTAATGACTTAAAAAAGCAAAACAGAATATAGTGATAAAATCAATTTTTGAAGCAGAGTTTAGAGCAATAGCTTAAGAAATTTATGAATTACTATGGTTAAAGATTATCTTAGAAGACTTGAAGATTAAGTGAGATGGATCAATATGACTTTATTGTGATAATAAGTCTGCAATAAATATTGTATAAAATCCTATGCAACATTACAGAACATAATATATTGAAGTAGACTAGTACTTTATAAAGGAGAAACTAGATAGTGGGTTGATTTGCATACCATATATATCAACCAAGGAATAACTTGCAAATGTGTTAATTAAAGGTCTCAACAATATAACATATCAAGAAATTATTTTCAAGCTGGGAATAGAAAACTCCTATTCACCGACTTGAAGGGGAGTGGGAAAATATTTAATTACAATTTGTTGTAATCTGTAAATATTTGTATTGCTAGAATTAAGTATTTATATCCCTATAATTAGTTACTAAAAATAAAATATCCTAACTATATGGATCAACTTTAAGGAGATTTAATTTCCCAATTTATCCTCTAATTAGCTGTATATAGACATAAGATTTTTGTATAATTCTTAAAAGAAGTGTTTCAATATACTCTTAGTTTTTCCACAATGAGATATCGATTTGATAAAATATTTCAAGGTGACAATAACGGTTGCAAAATAAAGATTGATAAGCGCTGGTAAAGGATACTTTCATTTATTACTCTTTATGATTTGACCTTATATTGACTTTCTTTGTGTTTTATAACTATAATGTGTTTTATAATGTGTGGTGGCCATAGGGTTGCTTTCTATTGTAATTTTTGTTTTCCTAAATATTTTTATTTGCTTGTAGATTAACTTTAAAGGCTTGAGAAAGAAGGTGTATATGAACTTAGTGGGGAATGAGTTAAAGGTAAACTAAAAATAATATTGTATAATTGGATTTGAATTGACGAATGTGGTTTATATCAAAACAATGAATGTGTTCTTTTTCTTTTTCAAAATTTTCTTAAAAAGGTTGAGGTAGAGTTTTAGGCTAAAACTATTATAGTCTTTTTGCTAGCAAAATTCCTCTCCCCTTTTTTTTGCCAATCTAGTAAAATTGTTATTTGACTCACAATTTTTTGTTTATTTTTCTTTTTTTTTTCTTTTAGTTTCTTTTATACTTCGATTAGTTTCCATAATGTGTTGACTAATCATGAGGGTAATAGAATGAGTTTCATTTGAATTTATCAAACAATCTTTATATATGATTTGTAGTTTTATAACAAACCAAATATGTTGGAAAAAATAGATGATTTTGAGAAACAATGTAACTTTTTATTAGCATTTGTTTCTAGTTATAAATTATTACTACCTTTGCTTTATTGCTTTTGCACTTTAAATTGTAAGAAATTGAGTTCTCATTCTTAGTCATGTTTAATTGGGAACTTATTCTGTAACTAATTCATTAAATGGATAGTTGTGTGAATTCTTCAATATACTATTGATAATTTGAACCTCTTTAATGCTTGCAACACTTGAAGTTTCAATTTTTTAATTTATTTTTTATATAAAAAAAGGCTAAAATTGTGATTCTTCTATGCCAAGGACTTTTTTTTGTTTTTTAATAAATTTTGGAAAATTGGAGTTGAAATGGATGCTTTTAAGGAAGGTTTGAATTTAATGGAAATAGAGTATGAAAGCTTTTAATGAAAGAGAATTGGTTTGGATCTTAATAATTATTAGTTAGGGTATATTAAGGTTGTTGATATTTGTGAATGCATCCCTTTGGTTTAAATTGAGTGAATTGAGAATCATTTTGAATTCAAATAGGGAAAAGGAAAGATTTTTTTTTTTGATGTTTTTATATTGGCAATTGTATTAATATAATTATAGCAGCTTCAGTTGTAGGGAGTCAATCTTATCCATATCTAATGGGGAACTCGATTTTTTACTCATATGAATATGATAATGGATATTATATTATGAATATGGGGATAAGAATGTATATTATTTTAAATTTTTATTGAATACAGAGATGGAAACAGTTAATATAGCATTTGTCTCGTACCCATGCACATATCCTATATATATTTTTATATATTTAATAAAAAATTTTTTTATTAAACAATATCAATTATAATTTTAGATTAATTGGAATTAATATATTTCTATTGAAAAAATATATATTAATATATAGTTATAAAAAATTACTTAAATATACAAGATAAAAATACAAAAACTAAAAAAATAAATTTTGGTTTTTATTTTTTTAAAAGCTATAGGCATGAGGATTATTCGTATCCATTAAATATTTACGAAGATGGAGATATAAATAAATTTAAAATATCCATTAGATATATATATAAGAGCGGATTTAATATAAAAATTTGAAGATAAAGATGGAGAATACTTTACCTTCTTCATACTCTAACCATTGACACCGCTATACAATTGATGTAGATAAGAGTAATGCTTGTGGGAAAAAAATGATAAGAAGGCTACTGTTGGGCAAGCTACAATTAAGGTAAATTTTGAAAAATAGAATATTGATAATCAAATGAAGGATGAGTTGGGAATTTACTTAAATATTGGATTGATTTTCGTACTATTACAGATTTGTTATATTGCAAGTCAGTATTATTGTATTTCATCTGCTGGTAGCTTTTATAGATAAGTGCTTTGTTCCTTAAAAAGCTACAAATTCAAAGATGACACCAAATCATTAGAATGATGTTTCAAAGTTACTAATTATTTATAGTTGTTTACATATTAAGTGTTTTAAGTATTAACTACTAATGATAGTTGAAATTTGGATTTGCATTTCCGCCACAAATTTGTCTTACCCGTTAAAACCGGTCATGATTTACTTATATATTTTTTATTTTAAACATATATTATTTTTGTTCGAAAAGAAAAAAAAAATGTATTGCTTTATCCATTAAATTTGTTTCTGTCAAATTCTAATCATGAATTAAAAGAATTCTAATATTTTTAAAATTTCAAATAAAAACTAAAAAAATTCAAAATATCTCAAAGCGAAACAAGGATGGATATTATAGCTGTATAATAAAATTGATTTTTGAGATTCTTAATTAATATTAATACTAATATGCAGATATAATGGTTGTGATTGCTGCTTCAATCACAGTCTTAACTCCTTTAAAAATAAAAATTAAAAAAAAAAAAAAAAAACTCTTACAAGACTTCTCTGTCCTATTTTTAATACCTAACCTAGTTTTATAACAACAATAAATTAAGTATTATATTTTATAATTCTGTGGTCATTATATAAGAACTAAAAAAAATTCATATTAATTTGTAATTTTAAATACCTAACTTAGTTTTAAGATGTACAAAATGTTTTTTATTTTTATATTGCTAAGATACAAAAAAATTACTTACGCAATAAATTATAGTAAAAATGATTTTACTTTTTTATGACATTATAATATCTACATATAGTAATTAGTAATTACAATAGCAATTAAGTAGTTTTTAATAAATTGTACATGATGAAATTCAAACATGAAATTTAAAGTTCTAACATCCGAGAGCTTCTCATCCTCGTTAAATAAGTAAATGTATTTTCTAAAATAAAGAAAGAAATAAAAATTCTTATTTAATGTAATTTTTCGTTTAAAAATGAACGTAATAAATTTTTAAGAAAAATAAATTAATAATACTAATATTTATTATTAAAGAAAAATAGAGAGTGGGGCATTAGATATTTCAACAATTAAATTTTAAGATTTTAATTTATATTTGAATTTTGTGATAACTATGAGGGAATTTTATGAAACTTAAAAACTCAGAAGAAAATTTTCCCAACAAATCAAATCTACTACTCTGTATTAGACAAAGTTAAAAACTGTCAAATATATATATATATATATAAATATATCCACCTTTGTCGAAATATTGAGTTTGAAGAGGAGATTACCGAGTGAGTGGGGACGTGTCAGACGTGTATAAGATGGTCTGGAAACCCCTACTTCTCCTTCCCTCTCTCTCTGTCTTTCTGATTTAGCGAGCGACTTTGAGTTTGAAGTGCAAAATCAAGGGATTGCGGTTGTAAAAGAGAGGGATCTGCTTCAAAGTGTAAACTTCAAACCCCGCTTCCTCTCTTTATCGTCTCTAACCCCAATTTCTTTCTCTCTTCTCTTCATCTGCTCCAGGTCTGGTATTTTTTCCTTTTAACTTGTCATTCCTCCCTTTTTTTTCCTTTCTTCAAGGTTTGTTTTCCCTGTGGATGCCATAAATACAATTTATGGCATGGGTTTTTTTTTTTTTTTTCTCCAGGCTCCAGTCCAGGTAGGATCCTTGTGTTGTCTTCCGTTCAAGCGTCATGGCTTCAAAGCGGATTTTGAAGGAACTCAAGGATTTGCAGAAGGATCCACCCACTTCTTGCAGTGCAGGTACTATTTCATGTTCTAAATATACATCAATTTCATACCTTCCTAATAATAATAGAGTTGATCCTTTATTTATACCAATTTGGTTGCCCTCCCTATTGCTCTGATTTCATGTTCTATGCGTTGTCGTTTTTGTATGGTCGGACTAGCTTTTCTTTATTTCGAACTGCGTCATCAGTTTTAGCTTATGAATCGAGTAAATTCCAAAAAAGATTGTGTATTTGGCTATACACGCACATATACACACAAGTTTGCTTTTATCCTTCTGGCTGCTTATCGCTGAAAACTTTTTATCATGGCCATGGCTCCTAACTTCAAAAATTTTGAAAACTATTAGTTACAATGTTTCAAGTCCCATTCTTTAGACCTCAGCTTTCGTATTGAATTTCTTTCTCTAATCTTTCCTTCATGCAACTCGATTTTGATGCGATTGGGAAGCTTTCCAGTTGTTCTTATATATATTACAATTACTTTATCAGGATCAAGCCATTCTGGTAAAATATTTATTCCATCTGGTCAAAAAAAAAAAAAAAAGAAGCTTATGTTGACTTGTTGGGTATAGTTAAGCGTATTTAAACCCTCACTCTCTCAAAGGTTAGACCCTATTGTGGTGGTTGTGGATTATCATCCATTGCCATTTTCACTTATTTTCACTTCTTAGTATCTGTCCATAGACTTGTGAACCTTACCTGTGTGTATAAGTTTGTAGGCATGGATTCTTCCTTTCCATTTTGTCAACAAAGGGACAGATGATAATAGTCATGTGAATCAATGGATGTCATTTAGTAACCTTTGGATGTTTGCATTGTTTATAATAGGTCCTGTAGCCGAAGACATGTTTCATTGGCAAGCAACAATTATGGGCCCCTCCGATAGCCCTTATGCAGGAGGTGTATTTTTAGTTACTATTCATTTTCCTCCAGATTATCCTTTCAAACCTCCTAAGGTAATTTTCTTCACCTGCAATGTTTTACCCCTTTGTGGTATGTGTGAAAGGTTAGTTGAGTCATACATACTCTTTTGATGGATAATGCTGCTCTGTTGTTTAGGTTGCATTTAGGACCAAGGTCTTCCATCCAAACATCAACAGCAATGGGAGCATTTGTCTTGATATCCTAAAAGAACAGTGGAGCCCTGCACTAACCATTTCCAAGGTTTGACCTTACTCTGGCTGATATTATGGTAATTCTAGTACAATATATGTCAAGAATTTATGTTCTGGCCTACTATGGAGTGCATGGCTGCACAAGATTTTCCCTGAGAAGATAAAGAATATGGCATTTTTAACGATTTCAGTCTTCAGTGGGTAAAATGACTGTCTATTGGTTAAAAAGTTAAACTTGTAGTTTATGCAGATTCACAAATTTTGAACAATCATTACTGTTACTTTCTGAGTACAAATTTATTTCTGGAAATTGAGTGATTAATATCAGAACAGAAAGGCCGACCTTGATCAAATCTCATTGGGAATATGCACCAAAAGTAAGCCAGTTTTGATGATGAAAAATTGTATTATTATTACTAATCCTTCCTTGCATGGACTTCTGCTGCTGCTTATTGGAATATTGAGTAATTTTGGTCAAAATCAATAGAGCTTGTCTAAAAAAAGGAACAGATTGTAGAAAAACTAACTGAAGTGCAAGTCAGGTTCTGCTCTCAATCTGCTCATTGCTGACTGATCCAAACCCTGATGACCCACTTGTTCCGGAGATTGCTCACATGTACAAGACTGATCGGGCTAAGTATGAAGCTACTGCACGCAGCTGGACCCAGAAGTATGCCATGGGATGATGGTGGTTAGCGTGTAATACCAATGGCTTTTGTATGTTGTCAAATGTGTTAACCTTTTTATGTTTTCTGTTGGGAAGAGAGGAGGTGTTTTCCTAAGGGAACTTGTCGTGGTGCTTATGCTTTGGATGTCGGAGAATAGAACTAAGTGGACATTTTATATCGTGCACCTTGTGACTTGTGTGAAGTCCCTCATTTGTCCGATGTTGAAGTAGTATCAGTAATGTATCAGAGTCTATAACCCTACAACTGCTTACTTAATGTTCTATATTGAACATTGTGCAAGGTGGGGGGCTATTGTTGATAAAGAGATATGCAACCGTTCCTTATTTTGTTGCCATTATAATGCTGTATGAAGCATTTTTTGTGTTAAATCAAATTTAAATTGGGTCCTAAAAATTTTCATACAAGAATGAAAATGGTTTGATCAGACCACTTTTGTAGTGTCTGGACTCTGGACGTCTTGTTTTACCATGGCAATAGGGGATAACCTATTCTTCAAAGCACATTACATTCATCAGAAATGCAAAAGTTGTTTTCGTATCTATCACTCTTTCTGATTCTAATGCTAGTACTTTCGTATCTTTGAGTTTAAAAAAGTGGAATTTTAAATCCAAAGTTGGATGTTGTTTTAAAGGTCAAACTCCAGACCAGAGAAGATGGTGGTGGAGGCCTGTGCCCTATGGGCCTTTTCTTGCATAATTTGTGCAACAATTGGGCTAACGGAACCATCAATGTATCCAGTGTGGACCCCCAAAAATCTTTCATCTTCCCTTCCCAAAAAACCTCCCAAAGTACAATATTTATAACTTTTCTTCATAGAAATCTCTGCCCTTTTTCTATTTTTCTATTTTCCTTTATCGCCAAAATATAGTCTCAAAGTCGATAGCTATATTTACTTTCGCTATCCTCTCTTTGTTTTATGATTTTATCCCCATTTGATTTAATGATTTTTACAAGGATTCACATGCATCGCTTTTTTTTTTTTTTGGACTTGGACAAGGAAGGATTAAAACCTAGCTCTTCTTTTGTTTTTATTTGTAAAAGGAATACCTAATCAATCCACCCCCACCATCAAATAATAACAATAATCACATAAACTTTGATACCATAATGGACTTCCTTATCCCGGGCCTATTATTAAAATAATAATATAATAATATGGCCGCATACACACGAAAGCCACGTTATAGAAAACTCTCCCTCGCTCTTCCACTAATTCTGTCCCACGTTTTGCAATGCCAGTTGATCCAAATACTCTCAGATCATAAAAAAAAAAAATATATATATATATATATATATATTATAACATACATGATTATCAGATAATAATTATTGATATGAACGTTTATGTGAATATTTTTTTTTAATACGTAAGATAATTTATAAAACTTCTGATTATGATGATATAAAATATATTTATTAATTTTAAATTATTTATAAAAATATATGTTTTAAAAATTATTAAATTATCTAAAATTTTAAAATTTAATCAAGAATCAATTTAAATTCTAATAAATTTTTTTTATCCTGTACATTATTTTATCTTAATTTAAAATCAATTTTAAAATAATTTATTTTTTTTAATTTATCTACATTTAATATAAATATTTAAATTTAACACAACTTTTAAAAATATTATTTAATATCTTTAATTTTTTATAAATACTTATTAAATTATCTTCAACTTTTAAATATATTTTATAAAAAATTTAAAAATATATAAATAAACAAACACATATCCTAATACAATCATATAAACTCTAACAGAATGAAAACTAAAGATTATTTTCTATGTTACAAAATAGGAACTATTTGTCTAATAGTGACCACTTCAACTTAGTGAAAAGGCAAATACATAATTTCCAAAATTAAAAAAATAAAATAAAATCAGATGTGTCAATGACACTTCCACACTTACAACATTTCTTAAGCTTTTCATATGCAGCTAAATAGAATTGATATATTATTTCTACACTTTTTAATCATACAATTGCAATAATATTTTATTCTCTAAATCTATGATATGTTTAAGAAATTGGTTATCAAGAATCCATTTAGATTCTAAACTTTGTCATATCTTTACAATAAAAATGTTAGCAGTAAAATTTTTTTAAGATATTTATTATGAATAGAGTCAAGATATAAAATATCAAAAAAACTATTAGATAAAAGTATAAAATACTAAAATTTAAGTATTATTATCTAAATAGATATTCTCTATAGATAAATTTATTATTAAATATATTTATGGATTAAAGTTTATCAATATTTAAATAAAAAATTAATTTAAATATAAAATAATTAAATAAATAAAAATTATTATTTAAATATATTTATGGATTAAATAAAATTCTATATCTTGATTCTTTATCATCTTTTCATTAAACTTATTTTTCAAATAATATTCTATCTTTTCACAAACTTTAACATTACTTTTTTATTACTCCTTAATTTAAGGTGGATTTATTTTTTTTTTCATTTATATGTTATATATATTTTAAATATGTTAATAATTTAATAATATTAATTTTTATTTTTATTTAAATATAAATAAAATAAAAATAATTCGTGCATCGCATAATGCAATTTAAAATATTTGGGCTAACCGATTTGTCACCGTCATGGACATATGGACGTTTGCGCAATACAAACCTAACAAACAAGGGCCCCAACCACATGGATCACACCCAAATTGCTGGACTCTTCCTTACTTTGTTCTCAACCCTCAACAAAGTCCGTAATCAAAAAAAAAAAAACAAACCCCTCAACAAAGTGCAATAGTATGGATTGGAACAGATGGATTCTTTTCATATCATGAAATAAGCATATGCCAAAACCACCAGTATGTATAAAATGGCAAATACCCAATACTAGGGGAGGCCTATCAGTTAAATGCAAATGACTGCAACACATTATCTTTTGCACTCTTCATGTAATTTTAGATGCAAATTAAAACTGACTTGATCAAAACATATAGAGTGTAGTGGTAAAAATATATATACTAATATTAAGTAAATGAATACAACAATGAAAGCCAAAATTTGATTCCATGGTCAAGTAACAACAGCAAGCGTATTGGCTCACTGGATTCTGGTTAAGCTCTAGCCAAATGCAGTCACTTACTGCTCTCAACGCCCTTTCGGGTTCATGATCTGTAAGAAAACGGCACTAGGTGTCAACCCATCAGAGTCTTCACTAACTAGGCTGCAACCACCAATGCTCATGTTCATGCTCATGCCGCTGCTCCTAGAATCTGTTAGATTACCATAAAAACCAGGGGATGCATTAGGATCTTTCCTGCCTTTACAGGTTACTTCATAGGTTCCCTCCTCAACGTCCATTTCACCAATTCCCTTGCCACTCTCTTCTCAAGGATTCAAATAGCGGTCGGATAGCGGTGTCGCGGCCGTTATTTCACGGTCGTGCCACTATCCGCCACCGCTATTGAAAAAAAAATGGGAGAGAATTTGAATATCATCTGTAGCGGATGAATCGTAACCGTGAATTGCGGTATAACGGTGAATAGCAGCAATAGCGGTCCGTTATTGTCCGTTATTACCGCTATTACTGCTATTCCTATTTTCATTCAAAAATTCAAAAAAAAAAATTTCATTTGATTTTGTTTAAAAATTTAAAATAAAAACAACAAGAAAAAAAATAAACATCAATTTACAAATTCAGAAAAAAAAAAAACCCACAAAACTTAAACTTTTAAAAAAATTAATTCTCTCAAGTTCAACTTTAATCAAAATAAAGTATATGCAATTTAAAGTAAACAATTAATTCAACACTCAAATTATCTTTTTTTTTAATTTCCAAATTTGCCATGATTTTATGTGTTTAGGATTAGATTGGACTATGTTACATTGATAGAAAGAGGCAAGAGTTGCTGGGACTTAAAATAAAAGATAAGAGATGAGAGTGAAACTTGAGGTTTACAGAAGCAAGCAGATAGCACGCACCAAATAAAAAGAGAACTGAGAGATAGGGATGAGGATAAAGGTTTGGAGAAAAAAAATTATTGAATGCAAGGTGAAGGGATAAGAAATTGTGTGGGTTTGTGCAATTTAGTCAAGAGACAAAAAAAGTAGACTTGAGGTTATTATTGTTGAAAATCGACCATAATATGGAGGCTGTCAAGTTTGATTTACAGTAAATTCATAAAAAGCAATTCTTTTGACTCATAAATAATAATGCTCTTACTTAATTTATGAATACCTAATCACTTATTAGTTGATTTATGTATAATATAGTTCGATAATAATTTGATGAGTACGGTAATTAAACAATTAAATATATTATTCGTTATGATTATTTATTTTTCACATATTTATTTATCTCTTTTTATTTTTTAATTATCATATAAATAATTTTTTAAATATGAATATTTTACTATAAATATTTTTTCTTAAATAAATAAAATACATGATATGATATAAATTACTTTAAAAATCATAAAATAAGAGGTTTTATGATTAATAATTAAAATTATTATATTTTATAGCAAGTTGAGCAAAATTTAAAAAAATTCACGATCGCAATAGCCGCAATGATTGTGAATGTCTCCGTTATATCCGTAACTATGACAAACGCAATACGACTGAAAACGTGACCGTTACCGCAATTTAAATCCCTGTCTCTTCTACGCTCTCCTGTAGCTGCAAAGCAAACTCCAGGTTCCACAGCACATCACCCATAGATGGTCTGTCAATTCCCTGATCAGTTACACACTTCATTGCAGTCTCAGCAATCTTTTTGAAGCATTCTGGTGCTATCTTCCCTTTCAGATAAGGATCCATAATCTGATCAAGGATGCCTTTCTTGTGACAGTGTGCAGCCCACTCTGCAAGGCTCACTTGCTCCTTCGGCAGTGTAGGATTCAATGCTGGACGGGCACAAAGGCTCTCAAAGAGGACGGCCCCAAAAGAGTAAACGTCAGACTTATCAGTTAGCTGCCGTCTGAAATACTCCGGATCCAAATAGCCAAAGCAACCCTTCACAACAGTGCTCACATGAGTATGATCCAATGTGGGGCCAGTTTTTGACAATCCAAAATCAGAAACTTTAGCCACCCACTTCTCATCCAGAAGAATGTTTGTTGTCTTGACATCCCGGTGAATAATAGTGTGTTTGGCACCAGTGTGGAGATAGTGTAAACTGCGAGCAGCCCCAATGCATATTTCAAGCCTTTGCTTCCATGGAAGAGGAGGCTTTTGGGTTTTGTACAGATGTTCACGCAACGTTCCATGAGCCATATAATCATAAACTAGGATCATTTCACAGTTCTCTTCACAGTAACCAATCAATGAAACAAGGTGGCGGTGGCGGAGTTTGGAAAGCATTTCAATCTCAGTCTGGAACTCATGCACACCTTGTTCAGATAGTGGGTTGCCACGCTTGATTGCAACTTCAGTTGTCCCACCATCAATTTCTCCCTTGTAAACTTTGCCAAAACCCCCCACCCCAAGGAGTAAAGCCTCATCAAAGTTGTTTGTGGCAGCCTTGATCTCAGCAAATGAGAAATGGCGGCAAAGGTTTGAAGGGAGGAAGCATAGCTCCCTGTGGTATTTGTCTTTGCTGAACCTGCAGAGTGAGAATTTCCATACAAGGAAAGAGGAAGCCATCCTGATGGACCATCACTTGTGCTTGTATCCCTTCCATGCCTACGACAACGTGAAGCAGCAAAAACACAGAAGCCAATAACGAGAGCTAGAACCACTCCACCACTGACTCCCGCAGCAATAATTGCCTTCTGGTTCTTTGATTGACCTCGTTGAGATGGCAAAGCCAATGATGGGTCAACTACATCCTGTTGTGGACCAGGGATTGGATTGGGACCTGCTAGATTCCTTGTTGGATCACTTATCTTGAATATCTCCACACCATTTAAGATTGCATCATAATACTGGGGCAAAGCCTTGGTGTACGGATGCAATGCAAGCCAGAGATCCTGCTGTGAATTCCCTCCGGGAACAATGATGACGTAATCCCTATACACAGGAACATCAACTTTTTCATTTGCCAGCGCAATCACATCAACCCTTTGCTCAGCAGTTTGATTGTTGAGGAAGACATCAAACACTCTCTGATTAATCTTAGTGATGTTATCTGTAAACTCACAGGAGTGCAGCCTGACCAAGTAAGAGAATCCAGAGTCAATACTGAACATCGAGGTTAAATTGTAATTATTGTTTATTTGAGCATTCGGCCCCATGGATCTAGCAGTGGTGTAAACATTTTTTGGTGCAATATAAGTAGGCATGGTTCCATAATCAATGGTGACATTTGGATCAGCAGCTCCCGGAACTCCAAATGCTGCGCCAAAGAGGTATGGCTGGTCATCATTCCAAGACCTAAACAAACCTGTATCATCAGAAGGCGAGATATCATTTCCACCCACATTCAGCCGGTAAACATTCTCGAGTGCCGTGCTGTTATCAATGGTGAATGGAACATTTTGACCCACAATATTTATCCCATCGGTATTACTATAAATATCAGGCATCGACAAATCCTCAATCCCATTGACAAACGCAAGGCATTTGAAGGAGTCGAAGAGGGAGTAAATGTTAAGTTCAAATGGTCACTGTTTACATTGATGGAATACTCCTTAACAATAAAAGCGTAATTCAAAGCTTCACTTGTTTGAGCAGCGCTGAAATTCTTAAGAAGATTATAGGAATCACAAGTGACTGAAAACAAAGCATTGGTTGCATTCTGCCCATCATACGAATTAGCATAGAAATACAACCTAACAAACTTCCGACCAGCTACTTCCGGGAAACTATAAGTGAAGCTAGAGCGAAAAACCCGGGCGGTCCAGTAAGGAACTTCAGGAACCACGGGATCTTGCGTGGCAGCTTGGGAAGTGAGAGAATTCCCACTTCCAATCAAAAACTTGGACCCAAAATCAGGAGTCCATTTCCGATTATCGTTATCGGTAAGCTCAGATTTCTCACCACAATTTAGAAGAATTTTCTCGGTTGCTACATAATCAGCAGCTAAGGCGAGTTGAAAGAACATGGAGGCAAAAATGATAATAGAAATAGGAAAGGAGTGATCAGCTGAGTTCCTCATGGAGTTCACAATGTGAGATCTGCGATAGAGAAAGACTTAATCTTTGAACATAAAATGGAAATATCAAATGTAACCCAGAATTCCTTAGCCAAAACGGCATAGAGATTTCAGATCCAAAAGACAAGCTAGCTACCTCAAAAAGATAGATTAATCTAAAAGAATGCAAGAAAAAACAAAAAAAGGTAGCCTGTGAAAGATGTGAAAATGAACAGAGTTTCAAGTCATTTATTTACCTTTAGGAGGCTCAAAAGAAGAGAAGAGAAGGGAAGAGAAGAGAAAACTCACTGAGCCAAATGGGAGAAGATGGCAATAGAGGGCTTTGTTTGTTTGGGATGGACCGGAGAGAAACAAAGAAAAAAGAAGAAAGAAAGCAGGTGAACGAAGCAGAAACTGACCGGCCCTTCTAAGATTTTAGTCGTAGTTTTATGTATGAATACGAAAGTCCAACAGAGCTGATTTAATTAGTTAATTAAATTATTTATTTGCTGAATTACTTTTATTACCCCTTTACAGTTGTATAGAGAAAGGACAAAAACGCCCTTCTATGTGTTAAAATGTTAATAGCGAGGCTTTGATGACCGGATGACAACAGATAGATGATTGCACGCGTCAACACATGTTTTTTCCTTTCTCTTTGTTATTTTCTAAAAGAAATAGAATAGAAAGTGATTTTATTAACAAGCTTCGGGTTTTGGGGCCCTGGGTGGCCCATATAAAGGTGGGCCAACTTACACTGACCACGCAGCTCTGCCTGACTGTGCTTGGTTGCATTCCATTCAATTTTTTCACGGACCTAATTGATCAAAGACTCGTTATAATCGGTTCTGTCAGTTTTTGTTTTAAATTTTTGTATTTTTTAATTTTGATATGACATATAATTATAGGATAAATTTAGAGATGAGAATTATCCTTTTATAAATAAATCAATTAATTTATAAATAAAATATTACAATCAAACTAATAATTATATATCATATCAAATAAAAAAAAATTTATTTCACCAAAAAAATTTTTAGAACAAAAATAAATGGACAAATAGTAGCATTTTGTACCAAAAAAAAAAAACTATAAAACATTTACTTACATATTGGCGGCCAGGAAAAACAAAAAAGAACACCCATAGAGTTGAGTTGACCATCCAAATAATTGGAATTTAAAAACTTGTCCAAACCTCTTCCCCTGTAATTATAAATCTAACAATCTTTTCTGCATCCATTGATAGTAGAATAATTTTATAAAAAAGAAGAAGAAGAAGCTTGTTTCATAAACCAAACGCACATTAATTAGCTTTGAACATGAAAACGAAAAGGATTAGTCGTTCGTTCCGGTTTTGCTTACCTTACCTGCTATCAGTACTAAAAGCTGAAACTGATTTTACAAACCAACTCTGTCCTCATCCTGTAGTAATCAATCACTGCTGATTTATTTCTTCTTCTTTCTTATCTTTACACAGGTATATTGTTTCTCACCTCTCTCTCTCTCTCTCTCTCTCTCTCTCTCACACACACACACACACACACACACAGTTTAGGCGCAGAAGCTGAAGACTAATTTCTAAGAACTTGTCATATTTGCATAGACAGAGTGAGTGAGTAGCAATTTCTTTCTTCTTTCTTTCTTTATAATGTAAGGGCAAGTTTTATTAATGGACACGATAGTTTGATTGCACCCAAAGCAATGCAATGATACTCACATCTCAACGAAAAATTGTCCGACTCTGAACTCTCAAGTCTGGACCCACTCAAAAACTTAACTTGGGAGTGACTATTTTTCGGCTCTGTCACTTGTGTTGCTGTGCATAGCCTTCGCTTTTCTTCAAATTCAGTTTCTAGTGTCTACCCCATCAGCCTACGATCGATCTTTACCCTATCGGTATTTGAAAGGGAAGGCAAAGACTGAATGGCAGACCAAATCAATAATTTTTTCTTAGCGTCAAAGCTAGAGACATCATCCCCTCTTCCTTACTCTTCTTGTTTCACAATTTCAGGCATCCACTAAGAATAAAGATAAGTATTACATTCTTGTTTCACCATGTATAAATATGTTATCCTCGGAAGATGCAAAATGCAGCTTTTGGGTCAGTTTTCAGTGCCATGGATTCTTGCAAGAAATGCTTCATTCTTTCATTGGCCTTTCTCGTGATTTTCTTTCAAAATTTGGGTACCAAGGTCTTTGGTTTTGATGGGAATAAGCAGATTGAAACCATGGCGGAGGAAGTCTTCGATCATTCACCACATTTTAGTACAAGGCAAGGGTAACCAATCAGAGGAGAATACATTTTTAGTACAATTTTCTAATGTTCAAGTTTCAACTGTTCAACATAATGTATTCATGATTTGCTATGTTCAGGATATATGATAAGGAACACGTGGAAGATGATGACTGGCAAATGGTGGAGACAAAGGGGAACCAGTTTGTTGTTAATGGTCAACCTTTCTATGTCAATGGATTCAATACATACTGGCTGATGGTATTCGCGGCGGACCAATCTACAAGAGGAAAGGTCTCTGAATTGTTCCAACAGGCATCTTCAGTAGGACTAACTGTTTGCAGGACTTGGGCTTTTAATGATGGCCAATGGCGAGCTCTTCAGAAGTCTCCATCAGTTTATGATGAGGAAGTATTCAAGGTACTAATTTCACTCTGAATCTTGATAGTGCTTTTCAATTTTTTATCAGAAGCAGATAATGTTATTTTGTTTGAAAATTAATGCAGGCCTTGGATTTTGTGGTGACTGAAGCAAAGAAGTACAATATCAAGCTCATATTGTCTTTGGTTAATAACTGGGATGCGTATGGTGGCAAGGCGCAATATGTCAAGTGGGGCAAGGCTGCTGGCCTTAACTTGACATCGGATGATGAATTCTTCTCTCATCCAACTCTTAGAAGTTACTACAAGGCCCACGTTAAGGTAAGTTCTTTTCAATTATATGTTACAGTTTTGTTTGTTTTTTTTGCTGATCAACTCTATTCTAAATCGTTTGACAAAGTGAAACTCATTGCATGAACATATATCAGCTTGTTATAAACTCCTACTTCAGTAATTACATTTCTGTTTATCCCTGTTATTTTTTGGCAATGTAGGCAGTGCTAAATAGAGTCAATACATTCACAAACATAACTTTCAAGGATGACCCTACAATTTTTGCTTGGGAACTGATGAATGAACCTCGTTGCACCTCAGATCCCTCTGGGGATACACTGCAGGTTTAGTTTTCTTCCAAAAACTAGTGACAAATAAAGTTAGCCTTGGTCCTTGGATATAATCATACATATTCTCTCAATTACCATAATTGCATCCTGAAGCCACTCCATTATCTTCTAGTCATGGATAGCAGAAATGGCAGTGCACGTGAAGAGCCTCGATGCAAAGCACTTGGTTGAAATTGGACTAGAAGGATTTTATGGCCCCTCAGCACCTGCAAGGGCTCAGTTCAACCCGAATTCATATGCAACTCAAGTTGGAACTGACTTTATAAGAAACCATCAGGCTCTCGGAATTGATTTTGCATCTGTTCATATTTATGCAGATACCTGGTAAAGGCTTTTACTCCTTTTGGAACTATTGTAAACCTTTTATACTTCCTATAATGTCAGACAGAACTTATGAATTCCGTCTGGCGGGTTAACGTTAAAACATATAAAACTCCAGCAAATGCGTCTCTCACCTTATCATAATATATGCTTTTGTGCTTATGCTTATTTGCCTACTCTTCTTCATATTATAAGTATGGAAACTTCTTAATTGATGATTTAATTAATTTGTGAAGGATTTCGCAAACTATTACCAATGCTCATCTCCAATTCACAACATCATGGATGGAAGCCCACATAGAAGATGCTGAGAAATATCTAGGAATGCCGGTAATCTTCGCTGAGTTTGGTGTATCTGCGAAAGACCCTGGCTACAACTCCTCATTCCGAGACACTTTTATTAGCACAGTGTACAAGACAATCTTGAACTCGACAAAGAAAGGAGGGGGTGGGGCTGGGAGCCTCTTGTGGCAGCTGTTCCCTGATGGGACCGACTACATGGATGACGGCTATGCAATTGTCCTTGCAAAGTCTCCTTCAACATCAAACCTAATATCCCTTCATTCCACAAGACTCGCAATCTTTAACTCAATGTGTTCTTGGAACTGCCGATGGGGTTGCAAGAAGAAAAATGCTTTGGAGACAATCCTCTACCATGATGATCTGTAAAACTGTTTTATGGATGAAGAGTCCTTATATATGTATATAAATAGGACAAAGATCAAACATATTTAATGGTGTTTATTATAGATAAAAGATAGCCACTATATAATAAGATCTTGGTGGAGTATTTACAATACGTTAGCAGTGTTCTCCAGTCCACAACATGATTATCAGATTATATTAGCTAATCACACTACTTAATTCCAGAAATACTTTCTATCTCAGTCTGCAGACTGTTATAAGCATTTCTTTCTCTTAATTAGCATATCTGGTCCATGTGGATCAGAGTTTGGATACCATACCTGCTGTTAACATATATACAACATTGTTATCATGTAACACAGTTCAGCATATTCTCCTTGTCTACCTGTTACATTAAACAATGCAATTCCAGACTTCAACATCGAATTCATTTGGCCTAAAGTATAGTAGTTCATTTCTTTCCCCTGATAATACCATGCAATCCTGGTAAATGGTAATTTTGTTTGGATTCATAGAAAGAATAGAACCACATTTCGGTTTTCCAGTTTGGTTGTTAATTGCAAATTTCTGTTGCTGTCACTATTCTTAAGTGGTAACTTTCAAGCAAGTATAGTCGAAAACAGCAAGAAATGTAACTCACTTTCAAGTGGAAATTTTCACTCAAATAGATTATCAGGAGTTCTTTGTTGATAATCAGTTTCCAAAACTATTACTAATTTATGCACAACTTATCATGTTACCATTTCCCAATTAGACGTGGGATTGGAGGTTAGTTCCAACTTTTGGCAGTAATTATATCAGAATCTTAAGATCGGTATATAAGATTATAATAAGATAAAATACAATGATATTATAAATAAGATTAGATTAAATAATATCATAATTATAATAAAATAATTTATTAAATTCTTATTAATAAAAAAGTCTCTCCAAAACTCTTGGTTTTGTGAGAGGGGTTATCGTCTTGATGAGTACAAGAGTTTCTGCTCCTCAGGGTTCTTGAGGTGATGTTATGCTTAGTACTTAGGTAGTCAGTAGCTCACTACATCGGGTTGATTATAAATAGTTAAGGTATTGTCTGGTTTTAACGACGGCGGATGATCTGGAAGATGAATGGAAAAAGTTCAAACTAACAGAGAAAGAAGAAGAACGGGTGGATACAGAAGATTATTTGAAGAGCATGGATCCCTTGGAAGAGAAGAGCTGGATGGTAGGCAAAATTATTAACCAACAGAACCTTCAACAGAGATGCAATGATGGGCACATTGAGGGTAATATGGAAGATGGCAAAGGAGATGGCAATAACAACGTTCACTACACGAGAATAGGTTTCTGGTGACCTTTTTTTTTTTTTTATAATTAGCGGCTGTTCTAAATACCGTTATAAGATTTATCGCGTTTGCCAAAACTGTCAATTAAGATTGCCAACCATATTTGCATCGGAGAAAATAGTAACATTTTAGAAAAAAAACATCGTTAATTTAATAATGTTTATATAAAAAAATATCGTTAAATTTAATAGTATTTTCGTAAATAAATATCGTTAAATTACAGAAATTAACAACGTTTGTGTCAAAAAATATCGTTAAATTTAATAATATTTTTGGATACAAACGTTGTTAATTTTATAATTTAACAATGTTTTTTATTAGAAACATCATTAAATTTAACAACGTTTTTCATTACAAATGTCGTTAAATTAAAAAAATTTTTAAGTTTTTTCAATATTTATTACTATAATTAAATAAAAAATTATTGAAAAAAATAAAAATAAATTTAAATTTATAAACAGAATATTATAAATATTTAAATATCTAAATACAAACACCAATTTTTTTCATTTTTAGACATAATAACAACAGTTACATTTAAAGAATACTTGACATGAAAAAGCGAAAAACATTATTATTAAATCAACAATTATACATCGTACATGAACAAATGTGTAGAAATGAACCAAAACAAATAAATTTGCCGTTGATGAGTTACATGTAAACTTACAAACCACGAGAGGCAGCATATTGCAAAAGAAAAAGAGCTTCCTAATACATCGTTGACTTGACATTTTTGAAGGTTCAGTTTGTATCATTTGAAGCTGGGATCAAACATTAAAAAAGCTTTCATTCAGCTATAGAAGAGCCCCCTTTATATATGCCTTGGCATTTTTTTTCCTGGTTGGAACTCCAAGTGTTGGCAGCTCTATAGCTACTATGTTCTTGGCTGTTCAATCTTTGTTCTTTGTTTTTTCTTTTGTTTTAATTTATTTTAAGTTTCTTTTACATTCCTTTACTTATTATTTAGCTCTACTTTAGTTCCTTTAATTATCATTTAAGCTTGCAATTTCAATTTGTAGTCAACACAGTTTTTGAGTTTCCAGGTTTGATGTTAGCTACTATTTAAATTAATTTTCAAGTTGATTTCAGTTTCAGCAAATCATGAGCTTTTTATATGTTGTTCCTCTACTTGTTAGCTTGATTTACAGTGCTTCCTCTTGATCAAATAGTTCTAATTGAGATAGCAAATTTAATTTTTTTTAAAAGCTGTTTCCAGAATGTTATTATGTTTTCAGATTTTATTTTGTTTCAGTTTTTGTGATTTTTCAAGTTCAATTCGGTTTCCATTTGTATCAAGCTTTTTAGTACTTGTTCATCTATGAGTTATCTAAGCTTCTATAAAATTTGACAGCAAAATTCCATATATTTTGAGCTAGATCTAAGATTTAGTAGGAGCTGTTCTGTTTTCCAAGCTGAAATTCCAGATTTTGTTTTGCTACGGTTTTGGTTAAATTTCAATACTAAATGATGTCCAATGCTCTTGAAAATTTATGGGTATGTTCACATATTAGTTAGTTACTTCCACAAAAAATTTGGAGATCGAATACTATCAAATGAGAGTGGAAATTGAATTTTAATCAGATGTTGTCCAGAACCTGTTTCCGTATTTTGATGTTGTTTCTTTGATTTTTCATGGCTGTTTGGGGGTTGATAAATGATGGTACAAGTTTGCTTCTAGGTTGAGCAGTCACCTAGGAGGCACTTTGTTACTTGAATTAAGTATTTTAAATTTTTGTTTAATTTATTTTCATACTATTGCTTTACTACCCTATTAATTTTCGGTTTTAGTTTGCTTGTTCTTTGCTTTGAGTTTGCTGCTGAATCATTGATTTTATCATTTTCAGCTATGTATATTTGGATCATGAGATCAAAAAACTTATCTAAAGGTCATAATTTCACAATTAGAAAGGAAGTCATACCATTAATGAAGATATCATCCCACTCTCTGCAAAACTATTGAAGAGAGCAACGACTACTGCTCGGGAAAAGGATATATTGAAATTAAAACTTTATTAGTCATTTCAAACATTAATAATAACACAATTACATCAAATTATTTTCATATACACTATTGCAAGCATTGATACAAATGTAGCGACCTGAAAAGGTTAAAAAAAACTTGTAGCGAAAGTTTTGAGGTGCAACAATCAGCAAAGGTTCCAGTGGTTCTCGAGAAGGCTCAAGGAAAAACCTGAAATGTGGAACTAGTGGGGAGGAAATGAGCCACTAAGGTCGCACAGACAAATGCACCTAAGCTCATGCCTGAGAGAATTCCAAACGCAGATGCATAAAAGCCTTGCAGTATCAAGTACAAAAAAAAAAAAAAAAAAGATCTAAATGGGATCAATCAAATCCATTAAGATTGGATTTCTTAGCCCATAGACTTTGATCATCGGGTCCTTATTCACGAGTCAGGACTAATGAGTCAGGACCAAAAGTCTGAAATGTTTCACAGAAAAAGTCCAAAATCGCATGAACTAAAAAACAAAATAAAAAAATGAGATTATTATCCAAGCATAGAACAGTAAGAACACGCTATCCCTCGAAAGATTATTCCCGACAATCTTCAACTACCGCCATATCAAAAGAAAAAAAGGCAGTAAGAGATATTTATTATTTATATAAATAAAGAATTAAAGAAAAATAACAATGAGAAAAACCAAAGGGCCTATTTGGTTCCCCAATCGCCGACAATGAACGATTAGTAAAATGACTGGGAATTGGGAATGATTCAAGGCTTCTAAAATTAGGGGTTTTTTGGTCATAACCTAGATGACCAAAGAAATTAGGGTTTTTTTTGTTGAAATACTAGATGGTCACAACCTTACAATATCAAGTTCAAACCACAAAGAAATTAAAGAAAAAACCATCTGAACAAATTTCTAATTCCAAAGTTGTGAATAAGTCGATTAGAACCACAGCTCTTCCAAGTAAAATTATTTTTAAACAGTACCTTCTCATAATCGCAACACTGGATTCAACGAAGATTGGGTGCTGGTTTGAAAACGAAGACACGAAAAGGGAAATAAGATTTGAGAAAGAGAAAAAGGGAAAGTGAAAGGAGAATGGGATTTGAGAAAGAGGGAAGACAAGAGAGATTTGAGAAAGGGGAAAATTTTGCATGAAAGAGAAAGGGGTGGGGAATGGAGAAAATTTTGTGGCGTGTATTTTAGAAAACATCGTTAAATTTTATAATATAGTGGCGTTTATGAAAGAAAATCACCTTTAAACTATTTGATATAGCGGCGTTTTATGTATAAATGCTGCTAATTCTTGTTTTTAGTGGCGTTTGTCATACAAATAGCGCTATTGGAAAATTTTCATGACGTTTTGATAAAAAATACCTCAATCTTTATAAAAACACAAATTTAGTGACCTTTGTAAGTAAAATGCTATTAAAAAACAGCTACTAATTTTTCATTTTTTTGTAATGACGGGGAAATTTTGTTTTTATTCCAGTTTGGATCTAACCATGATAAGAATAGGGTGATCAAGGGATCGCCTTGGTCTTTCGACAAAAATCTAATGGTGTTTAGGGATTACGATGGAGATTACGCCCAAAAGAGTACACCTTCAAGGAAGCTACGTTCTAGATTACGCTATAGGGCCTTCCCCTGAGAACGATGAATATAGGAGTTGCAGAAAAGATAGGGAACAAAGTGGGACTATTGAAGGATGTAGATAAGAATATCACCTACTCTAGTGAAGGGAGTTTTCTACGGATGAGGGTCACAAGTGACATGATGAAGCCCTTAAGAAGGTTTATTTCATTGGAAAAAAAAAGGTGGGGAAGATATTCATGGCAGACTGAAGTATGAGCGAATGCCAAATTTTTTTTATGTGGTTTTTTGGGTCACACAGAGATTGATAAGATGAGATTGGTAATGAAGAGAAAGGAAGACAATATGGTAACTAGTTGAGAGCCCTTTCTACAAGAATAGGAGGCGTGAGGGCTTTTGGAGGATTTCAGAAATATTCAAAAATAGGGAATGGGAAAGAGGACAACGTAGTTAAAGGCCAGGCGAAGAAGGGCAGATCTCTTTCCCATTTGAAGAGGAAGACTCTTTGTTCAACAATATGGGCATCCCAGTTGTTTAACAAAACGAATTAAC